ACCCTCGGATGGCGGTTTTCAGGCGTGCCTAGAGACAGCGCACCCCTCATCCGAGTGCAACAAACACGCTGGCTGGCTTTTAATTGTGGCTTCATTGATGATCTGAGAATATGTGAAGCTGTTCCTGGTCCAAGAAATCGTACTGTAAGTGGAGCCAATTAGATTTTAAGAACGGTCTTTGATTCCAGTGAGTTAAGAAAGGAAAAAATAAGCGATGCATAAATAAAACTCACAAGGTGGGCAGGTGGCAGAAACCACCGTTGAGTGTCCTCAGGCATCTGTTTCTAGGGGTTCTGATCATCAGACCTTTCATTTTCACAGGAAAATATGGCTGTAATGCTGTGGGCGTTTCCACCGTATAGAGCAAAAATAACCTGTCTGACGCTGTCACGGACGCTGTGAAATCCAGGATCACTCGTGAGCCTTGAGGGACCTGCATGTGCACCGCAGAACCAGCCTGAGGGTGATCGGGAGGGAGTCTGTACCCCAAACCTGGAGCCCGGAGCTCCAGGCAGACTCGGCTAGTGAAGCAACGAGCGCGTGTTATCACCATTGATGATCATCTTGTTGATCCTGTAACGCCGCGGTACTTCTTGGGTCGCGTGTCCTAGACGTGTCTGGCCAGCCAGGTCTGAGGCCAGGAGGAACCCTGGAGACAAACCGGTTTGCAGGACCCGAGTGCTGGTCCTGTGTAGTGACAGGCGGCATCATGTCCTGGGTCGGGATCCTGGCTCCGCCTCTTACTGGCCGTAAGAGCCGAGCGTGTCACCCACCCTGCTGCGCCCGTGGTCCCAGCAGCAAGCAGGGGCCGCAGCGACGCCTGCCTCATGGGACTGCTGTGCCACTGATGACGCGTGTGCCTTAGTGGTAGCTGCCACCCCTGTGCGTGCCAAATAGTCGTCATTCCCTATTGTTTCGGAGACAAGGCCAGCCTTCCTGGAGCCACTTGTTCAGAGACACAGGGGCTAAATACGGGTCCCACATCCGTGGATTCCACCAGCCGCCCATGGAAAATATCCAGAAACAAAACAAAACAAAACAACATCCGTACCGACCACGTGTTGATCGTTTCCATGTCATCATTCCCTAAACAATACAGTTTATGCCAGGCGTGTTGGCTCACGTCTCTAATCCCAGCACTCAGGAGGCTGAGGCAGGAGGACCACCCTGAGTTTGAGGCCAGCCTGGACTACCTAGTGAGTTCGAGCCCAACTTGAACTGCTTAGTGAGTCCCTGTCTCAGAAAAACAAAACATACAGTTTAACAACTATTTGCATAGCATTTGCATTGGATTAGGTGTTATAAGCAATCTAGCAGTGATTTAAGTATATGGAGAATGCATGTCCACTTTATGCAAATTTGGTGCCATTTTTTATGAGGGACTGAGGTATTTGTGAATTTCAGTATTAGCAGAGGTCCTGGCACCAGTGCCCCCTGGATACCAAGGGACTGGCATTGGTCACCGAGCCTCCCTTCGTCTCCCAGGGAACACATGGGTCCCCATGGCTGCCCTGCGGATGTGACCAGCCCAGCAGTCGGTCGTGACCCTGAAAAGCAACATCCTACGGACTCACCCCCCCAGGGGCACACAGGGCCCGTCTTCTGGGGAGTGTGTGTACCCTAATCCACACTGGCCTCCGGAGGTGCCCACGGCTGTGACTGTAAAAATGTCAGGCTGTCTTTGGGGGCACATGGAGCCAGGCAGCGGGGTTGTTTATTCTGTAATCTGAGTGAGGAATTCGAGGACACCATCCGTGCCCTGCCCCAGGGTGTGCGGGGTAACCCTACAGCATGCAGATTACTGGGCCTTTGCCTCCAGTCCCCTTCCGGTCAGCAAACCCGAGAGAGATGCTGGCGAGCGTGCACTGGGGAACGGCAGCGTGGGTGATGGGGGAGATTCGAGGCTTCTGTCTTTCCTTGGCTTCCCTGGACTCCCACTTCCTCCCGTGTGGCTCGGTGGGCTGTGCCCTCAACAGGGCTGAGAGTGGCCCTGGGCTCACAGACTGGCCAGCAAAGCCTGCTAGGTCTACGCATGACCTTGACCTTGGGCAAGTGGCTGAAGGTCAGGGAGGCTGGGCAGGGTGATCTGGAAATGGCGGGTCCGTGGGGCACGGTGCCCAGCAGGCTTGTTGTCGCTTGTTATCATACCTATAAAAAGCACACAGGGCTCCTTTGCGTTTGTGGCCTGGGGTGCCGGAGCTGCCTTCGCGCATGGCGCCCCACGGAGTCCCGGGCAGGGCTGCGGGGAGCAGGCCCCACACGGTCAGGGCATTTTAGAGGTCTTGTGTTAGAAAAATAAACCAATTAAATAATACTGCCCCCATAAAAGCTGGCTTTTAATGGATTCCATGGTGGCCGTCGCGCAGGCTCGGGCCTGGATGGGCCCGTCTGCCACTGTGGGGAGGATTTAATCTTGCATGGCCTGGGCAGAATTTTACAAGTTTAATGGGTGTTTTTTCTCCTCTGAAGTGTTGCAAGGTCATTGTGCGCCGAGGGCAACTTGCGTGCTTGTAACAGTTTACCTCCTTTTTGGTGGAAATGAAAAATGAAGTAATAAATTAAAGAAAAACACAAGGAATATATATATATATATATATATATATGTATATCTATATATATATTTTCCCCCCTCTTGGGGCCACAGTGGGGGAACAAAGAGGCAGTGTTTCTGGGGACAACTTAGGCAGTCCTGGTGGCTTTTATGCATTGACATTCGCCTGTAGCCCCCCCGCCCCCTGGGATGTGGGCTGTGTGTGGAGCTTGTGTTTCCAGCCCTGGCACACTTGGGGCTCTCGGAGGACAGGTCCACAAACTCCAGCCCGGGGCCCTCATTCAGCACACTACCGATTTTTGTTAAGGAGTTGCGGAAAAAAAAAATCAAAGCAGGGTGTGGTGGTGTGCATCCACAACTCAGCCCCCGGAAAGCTGAGGCAGGAGGATCACCAGTTCACGGCCAGCCTGGGCTGCAGAGTGATTCCGGCCGCTTGTGGAAGTGACGCCTTGCATCTCTGATCTCGGGGTGACCTCTGCGCAGAGCCAGCCTGGGAACCCAGGCTGTCTGCCGCAGGACACGAGGGGCTGGCGTGTGGGTGAATTCTTGGGCTTAGGGGAGGTCTTTCTCCTCTCCCCCGACCCCTTCCCCTTGGGGAGACTCTGCCTCCTCCTCTGTCAGGAAGTGAGCGCTCCTTTCTTCCTCCTGGCTCCCCTTCCCCTCTCCTGCCTCCCTCCTTCCTCCTCTTCTCTTTCTTTCTTTCCCGCCTTCCTTCCCTCTCCTGCCCCCCATGGGTCTCTGTCACCGATGCGTCATCTGTGTCGTGAGCGAGGAGGGGGAGGAGGGAGCGTCCCGCCGTGGAGCAGTGGTTCCGCTGGCCTCGGGGCCGGGGGTCCTGCAGTGTCCGCTCCGCACCCTCTTCCTGCCGAGAACCACACACCTTCATCCTTGCTGCCCCACGCTACGTGTTACCGCAAAGGCGTGCAGTGTCTGGAGGCGCAGGAGCGGCCGGCCTCCGAGTCCTGCAGGCTGGAGCCTGTGCCCAGGTCCGCAGGTCCCAGGGACCAGGGGCGCGGGTGGCCCAGGGATCGTCACAGTCAGTCAGTGCAGGTGCAGGGGGCAAACAGAGCTGAGAAAGTCCTAGCTCCGGGCAAGGTGGTGGTCGTCATGGCGCCGCGGTGCAGAAGTGGCTCTCGTGTGAGGCAGTGCGGCGTACACACACCTGCCTCACCTGCGTGGTGCCCAGGTCAGCTCGGGCCACTGTGTGCAGTCACCGCCCCTGGGCGATGGTGAGCAGCTTGACCATGCTTCCCGTGGCCACCTCTCACGGTGACGCTGGAGTGTCCCGCTTCTGCTGACAGCTCCCTTGCAGCCGCGCGTGGTGCTCCCTGGCGGCAGCCTCCCCTGCTTGAGGCTGAGTTTCCCCCGATGGCACCCCAGGGCCGCGTCCCCCCGTCTGTCTCTGTGCGTTCCTCCCGCGGTGTCTGCAGGAGGAGACGCAGCCCCCGGCGAGGCGGTGCCCAGAATGCGTCCCTGCGACTGGGCGGGCTTGTTCCCTTCAGCAGTGGTCTTTATAACGTGTGTGAGCCCTCCTAGGTCTTAGACGCAAAGACTCAGGGGCCTCTGTCTCCACAAGGCGTCCAGCCCTCCGCGGCCCAAGGATACAGGCTAGGAAACGTTCTTTACAGACTCCCACGTTGGGCCGGGACTTTCCTAAGTTTCTTACACCATTTCCTTCTAGGTGTCTTCCTGAAAGAGTTAGAGACCTCATCACAGTGATCTGTGCGCACCTATGGTTGTAGCAGCACAGTTCACAGTAGCTGAATCTTGGAAGTGGCCCAAGTGTCCATCAGCAGATGAATAGATAAAGAAAATGTGGTATTCACACACCCTGGAGCACTACCCTGCCATAAAGAAGGATACACTGGAGTCATCTGGAGGAAAGTGGATGCACCATGAGACCATAGTGTTACGTGAAAAAACCAGATACATAAGCTTAAACATCGCGTGCCCCTAGTAACTATAAAGAGCAAAATAAAGGACAGATAATAGGAAGTAGTGAGATAGAGTTTTCTCAAAGGGGAGGGGGAAGGAGAGGTGGAGGGAGAGGGAGGGAGGGCAGGCGAAGTAGCAGAATTAGGATGTGTCACGTTCGTGTACCAGCTCCCTCCGAGGGATGTGATCGTTGTGTTCTGCAAACGCCGATGGGGAAAATAAACATTTTAAGGAAAAGCAGAGGTGCAGTCTTGTCTTGTGCGTGGTTTCACCGCAGTGGGTGTTGAGCACACCTGTCTCGCACTCCGAGCCTGGCCTCTGTCACGCTGGGTGTGAATGTGGGCGGACACTGGGCGGCCGGGCTCCTGGACCAGCCTGGGCATGGGTACCTTTCTTTGCTAGGAGCAATCACTTTTCCTTTCCTGCCTGCTTCCTCCCTCTCCTGATGCCTTTATCTTTGTCAGTCAACAAACCTTTGTGGTGCCTTTCTGACGAGTTTGTTTTCTCTCCTCAGTCATGCGGAGGAATCCCTTCGGCGTGGACATCTGCTGTCGGAAGGGGTCTCGGAGTCCCCTGCAGGAGCTCTACAACCCGATCCAGGTAAGCCTCGGGGACTTCCTGTCCGTGTGTGTCGTTTGGGGGTGTGCAGCCCTGAGAAACTGCAAAATTGGCTTCAAAACTTCGTCCCGCCTCCCACATCTGACCCGCAGTGGCTGCTTCCCTGCTCTTCCCACCACTGAACAGGCGGAGCGTCCCTAATCAGAAAACCTGAGGCCAAAATGCTCCTAAACCCAAACCTTTCTGATCCCCCGCGTTTCCACCCCAAGTGGGAAACTCTGACCTCGTGGTCCGTGCCGGCCCCGAAGCAGACACCCTGGAAATGCTGCACTCGGTTACCCTCGGCTGTGTGGGAGGCGCGCCGAGTCCCGCTCCTGGGGTACCTCACGGGGACTGTGTGCGTGTTCCAAAGTCTGAAAAATCCAAAACGCAAAATGCTTTTGGCCCAGCGTTTTGGGTAAGGGACACTCAACCTGTGACGTTTCTGAAACTCTGGCATGAAATGTTTAAAGAAGTGCCGCGGTGTGGTGTTGGGTGACGCTTTCAGACGCTCCGGGGGCTTGGACCCTGAGATCTGTGCAGTCCAGGGTCCTAGCAGTGGGGCTCAGCTGGAAGAGCCCGAAGGCTCCCACGTGGGTACCTGTGGCACCCTGCTCCCTGGTGGGAGGATCCCAGCCCGGTGATGCCCTACAAACCGCACTGTCTGTGCCACTGTGTGGGCGGGGACTCGGTCGGTGTGACTGGTCACTTTAGTGAGAGGGGTGCTGTTGGTGTTGAGTCTCTCTTGGAGCAGAGAAAGACCTCTGAGGAGGCAGCAAAGTTAGGAGGCCTGGTTGCCTTGGCAACTGCATGTGGGTTGCAGGTCCTGGTGTGGCGCTTTGGCGGGGACATTAATTGGTACCCGGTGTGGGGAGCCATTATCCGCAGCCCCTCCGACCTTCAACAGCTGCCGTGGAGAGGGCTGCGGCTTTGTGGCGGCCCCGGGCCTGCCTGGGTGTGGAGTTCTTGGTTTCCTCACTCTGGACCCGGCGTGATGGACATCAGTGCCCGGCCTCCAAGGTGCTGAGCTCTCAGCCCCGAGAAGGCTTCGGCCCACTTCAGCCCCAGCCTCTTGCCTGCTCCTTTGGAAACGGTGGGCTCAAAGTCTGGTGCCACCTCCCGCCCTGTGTCCCCTGGTGGAGCTCTAGGCGGGTGAGGCCAGATTCACCTGGGAATTGCAAACTTTGCATTGCCAGAGGCTGTGCCTCTGCAGGGAACCTGAGCTCAGGGCTCCTCGGGTGCCCACAGGCTCTGGCCGCCCTGGGCAAGTCTCCCAGCCTGTCTGCACCGCGTCTTTGCGGCCGTCTGTAGCCCCTCTGTGGGCGCGGACCACGCCAGGGGCTTCCCAAAAGTCACGTGAAACCACGCAGCTGCTCCTGCGAAAGCCTGCCAAAGCCCGTGTTTGTGGGCGATGCTGGGTGTCCCGGGCAGAGCTCTTTCTGCTGTGACCCCTGGTCTGCTGCTCCCCGCCATCTCCCCGACACCACGCAGGGCCTGGCCCCTTGTGACGCCCCGCACCCTGTGATGGAGAGTGCAGAGGTCCTGCTCTCCCTGTAGCCAGCTGCACGACCCGGAATACCGACAAGCCTTGGCGGGCGTCAGTTTTCCCAGCAGCAACCTCACTGGGATGCTGGGAGCACTGAAGCAGGATGCTGAGTCGGGCCGTGACGGTCCCAAAGGTGGCTTCTGCGCTGGGAACCTCGCCTTCAGAGTCGGACCGGCTTCAAAGCCCGGCACCCCCATTTCCTGCTGTGTGACCTCAGGCCGGTTCATCCCCCTCACAGGGTGCGACGGGGATGTGCAGTGCTGCAGTCCCAGGTCTATCTGCTGTCATCGGCGCACTCGCCTCCCTGCAGCTCGGTGCAGGCCCCGGGTGTAGAAGGGAACTGAGGTCAGCTGTCCTTGCCGGTGCCCCCTGATGCAGCCTGGCGTCGGCCAAGGTCAGCCCCGCCCGCTGTCGCAGCGAGCCAGTTGGGAGAGTGGCCATCCGGGGAGAGGCCGCCTCCTCCTCACGGTGACCTGTGGGTGTCCGGGTGAGGGGCTCACACGGCGCTGGCCTAGAGCTTGGGAGGGGAAGGGCGGCAGCTAAGGGTCGCTGGGTAGGGCGTAGGTGGGCGTTGTCGCCGTCACCGTCCCTCTTCGGGGGTGCCTGGGCACACGTGTCTGGCCCCTTCAGCTGGCAGTGGGGAAATGCCCTACAGGAAGACCACTTGTTTCCCGGGGTGCTGTCTCAGCGGTTTTTCTCAGCCTGGCTTCCTTTACAAGCGGCAGTTCCTTTCTAGTCCTACGCAAGGCCCCTGCGTGGCCCTCTCTGGAGGGGCTGTCCTGGGGACCTCAGAGCCATGTGGCTCCGAGGACAGGAACAAGTTGTTTTGTGTCCACGAGACACTAATGCACACTAGTTCAGTGCCCTGAATTTTCCCATCAGGCCTTCAGGCTGCTGAGCCCAGGAAGGGCTGTCACAGGCGGACGACAGACGTTCTGGTTGCTGGGCACCAGACCGTTTCCAGAAACGGTGATCTCCTTTTCCTCTGGGTCTGGTTATTTGGGTTTGCTATGGGCTGGTGAAAACAGGAACCATTTATTTATATGATGAGGAACCAGTGTTGGGCTGGGAAGGTGCCATGGAAGTCACTTTCCACCACGGAAGTGCTCGTGCGGTTCTGCCCGGCACGCCTGACTCCTTCTTCAGCACTGGCCCTTGCTCTGGCGGCCCCATGCTACTCAGACACTCCAGGGGGGCCCTTTGTAGGCCCCTGAGCCCCCTATTGCTTCCTCGTGTTATTCAAGGGGAGACTGAAGCCTGTAGGTGTACACGAGCAATCCAAGGCCACATGGCTGGTGAGCAGCTAGCTCTGTACGGACTTGGCTGCAGAGCAGCTACAAATCGGGTTTACCAGCAGCTGCTAGTGAAGTCCTCTTGCAGGAACCACTGCACCCCCTCAAAACCAAAAAGCAAACCTGGATTTTTCACCAGACTGAGGCTTACACCTCCCTTGGGAAGCTTGGCTATCATCTGATGGCAGCGTCCAGAATCTTCTTATTTTCGTGTCCTGCAAACCTCTAACCATTAAAACAATTGGTTAAAAAACAAACAGCTTTGTAGTGGATATTCTTAGCAGCACTGCACCGTGTTGTCTTGTAATTTTCCCGGTTCTCAGCTGTCTCCCTGGCCCCAAAATAAAATGTAATTGTGGATCAGATCAGCTGGCACGAAGTCACCGAAAGTTCAGGAGCTGCCAGCTGCATATTTGTGGGCCGGGCGCAGCTGTGGGCACCAGGCTGGGCTCAGACACACAGGGCAGAGCTCCGCTGCTGGGCGTGCGCAGGGCGTAACTGGCCCAGACGGTGGTGAGGGCGAGGCCGCTCTCCCTCCGCGCGCCCACCCTGCCGTCGCAGCCGCGCTCTTGCGGTTCTGCCCTGCCCACCCGGGCTTTCTTTAGCACTTGGACTTGCTCTGTGATTACACAGGCTGACTGGTGTGTAAGCAGCACATCTGGTTCCCGTGGGGCGCAGCAGGTCCAGCTTCCGCAGGCTGTTCGGAGCTCCGGGGGCCAGTCCGTGTCCCAGATCCAGAAGGATTATGGGCAAAGTGTGTGTGTAGGGGGGAACATGAGCAAATCAGTAAGGTGCAGGAAAAGGACCCAGGTCACACAGAGATCGTCTTCCGTGTGCTGAGGGGAAGCAGGGGTCGGTGGGAAGGCAAAAGGGAAGGAAGAGAGACAGGAGGCAGAGTGGCCGCTCTCTGGGCGTCTGGTGCTCGCCTCTGACGGTCCCAGGTGTTTTGCAAACGCCCCTCAAGTCTGCTGTCTGTGGTGCCTGACGGAGCTGGCTGGGCTCTCTACGTCCCACAGAGCTGCAGCCGCAGCACCTCGTTGGATCTTTGCTTCGCTGAGAGCTCGTCGAGGACCCCACTGTCCAGATGACCGAGGCTCAGCAACTCGCCACAACTGCCCAGCTCTCCGGTGGGTGACAGAGCCGTGCCTGGCGGGGCTGCAGGAGGGTGACCATCCAGTGCGCCATCTCTCCAGGGCAGCAAAGATTTTCGGGACAGACTCCTTCCTAGGAAGTCAGCCTGAGGCCTGGAGTTCCCAGGGCAGACCCGGGGCCAGGGCAGGGAGGCCTGCGTCTCCTGGCTGGAGCGACAACCCCGAGAACTCCACTGGGGCTGCCACATTCTGGAGACACTCGGAGGGCCAAGACTTTGATTCAGTAGAAAGTGTTAGATCCATAAAAGCTTGCCATAGACCAAGGCTGGAGAGCTGTTCAGCAGTGCTTGATGCACTTCGCTTCTTCTACAGACGTGGACGGAGGAAGCAGGGAGGCGAGGCGCGGGGAGGGAGGCGCCCGGGCAGCGCGGCGGAAATGCTAACTGGAAGCTCTGTGCAGTTGGGGTACGTCCCAGGGGAGTACAAGCCTGCAGAGTGGAGGAGGAGGTCCCCAGGTCGGAGCTCGAAGGATGCGTCGGAGTGTACGGGACGAGACAAGGAACAGCATCCTGCAGGGAGAACGGCAGGAGCGAGGTCCACAGCCGGGAGAGCCTGTGGCACCCTCAGAAAACCGGAGGGGTCTGTGGCTGGGCCAGCGTGGTGCCGGGCACTGTGTGGAGATGGCTGGAAGGGCGGGTGGCAGCAGGTGGACGGGGTCCTCTCCGCCCTTCCGGAGGGTTTGATGCTGGGTTGGTGGTCCGCAGGGGCTCAGAGGAGGCCGTGTAGGACTTACTCAGCAGCTGCCTCCAGCTGCACCACCTCGTACCCTGGGAGCTGCTCTGAGGCTGGCTTCCCGCGCCCTCGGCCCTGGTGCTGCTGTGTGTGACATAAGCGTTGGGATTGCTCAGTGGTCCTCAGCCTCCTGCGTGTGCTGGGTCTGCTCAGGGCTGTTTAAAGCAGACCTGCTGTGTCAGTGCAGGGCGTGGCCGGCACGGCTGTGTCACCGTCTCGCAGGGTCACTGGAGATGCCCCGGGCTGCCCGGCGCGGAGAGCCTGTGGTGTTCACTGCTCACG